ATTTATATGTATATGTGTATGTGTATATATATATATATGTTTATACACACACACACACGTGGGTACATGTACATGCAATATGGACACACACAGACACAGACACACACACACACACACTTGCACCTTGTAAACAGCGAGTGCGAATCTCAGTGTGCTTTCTGAACCCTTCGGCATGCCTGGCCCGAACACTCCTGTGAGCACTCGTGGCTGCAAGGTGAGAGTTCACTCGCAGTTTTCAACAAATGCTCCAGCGCCCACGGCTAAAACCTTGCTATTGACAAGCAAATTTCCCAGCCGGTGCCGGAATTCGGCAGCTCCAGAAGCGGCCTGTTGCCCGCAGAAAGAGTTCCAGTCTTTGGAACTCAGGCCTGGTGGCCACGATTGGCGTCACCGCTTGGTGCCTCTGGCATCCCTCCCTGGGAACAGCAAGAATTCCAAGAAGCTTCACAGCCAGCCGGCGCCATTGAGCATTAGATTCCAGGAGTTTTGTCAACTCGGCAACACCTGCGGTGTTGGAAGAGGCGAAGAGAGAGGCCAGCCCATAGCAATGCAGCGCTGGCCCAGACCACCGCCGACCACAGGCTGGTCGTGTATGCTCGGCGATTCACGACTTGTCCAAGATAATAGAGGATGAAGAAAACTAGGAACATCACGACTGATTGCAAACAGTCCAGCAGTACGCCACTGAACATCGGAGCCGCAAAGCGGTCACAAAGATAAACCACAAGGTTTAAGAGTCCAAGAAAATAGCCCAGATGAAAGCCGATGCTGTTGCCCACAAACTCGGCCAATACCACCTGCCATGTCATACCGCCTAGGGACAAGGCCACCAAGCTGTCCATTGAAGCACCGAAGGTGACAGACGTCACCATGAGAAGATATCGCGAGGGGAAACCGGACTTGCTGCTGTGAAGCAACTCTTCTCGCAGGGGCCCGCGCACGTATTGTGTAAAGGCATCCTTGCTCCCGTACCACTCAATAATGGCCCTGTGGATAAATTCTCGGTCAAAGTCCGTGCGACAGTAGGCCTTCTCGAGGTCGAACAAGCGCAGGTCTGACACTAGCCTGTGCTTCGACATCAGGTTCCGGCGCATGAGGTGCAGGAGAAGGATGAGGGGAACAAGCCTCGGTCCAAAGACAAAGAAAGGCTTGGCTGCAAACTTGTACAATAGAGCTACAGTCATGCACCACCCCTCATCGCGGGTTGCTAGTGGCCAGTGTTACTTGCTTGAGGCACGTCGATTCCACGGACAAGACACGCAATGACGTAGGTCATGACTCGCCCGACTTCTTGCCAACTGAGCACAAAGACCAATGAAAACAGGAAAGCCACGAAGTATGTGAAGAGAATTGTTACGAGGGCACCCACTTCCACAAAGATCGGGGATACAACGATGCGTCCACTGGGATTTGCCATCCGGTAGGCTGCCAGTTCGAACACACACCACAGCCTCGGCCACTGGGACTAGACATGTTACACTTGACCTGGGCCCTTTCTACAAAAAGCTCTTGGCTATATCGCCCAGCCTCGAGAGGTACGGGGCGGACCAAAGGACCCGGAGCTCTTTTGAAACTCGCAAAAATCCTCCTAAGCCGTAGACGCCACGCTCCATCAACTCCTGGTCCACTTGGTGGATGCTGACCACATCCAGGAAGCAAACAGGATGCCGGCCGCAGAGGGCCGGAAAATAGGGCGTCAGCACGAGCCCCAAGGAGCTTCCCACGAAGGAGAAGACGAGGCACCAAGGAAAGAATGGGCTTTCGAGATGTGAATACCCTTCAAACTCGGGTGGGAGGACAAAAGGCAGTGGAAGCCAGCGCAGAAGACTGAGCACCATTCCAGCCATCACGAAGAAGCTTTGACCCAGAAACACCTGCTTCCAACCTGCTTGGAAAAGCAGGCTGAGAACTTTGTACCTGGCTCAGACGTCTCTGACTCTCCCAAGATCGCAACTTGTCGGAACCTCGGCCTGCACCTGTAAACACTCTGATCGCTGTTCCATCCAAGACTTCAAGAGTCCAACCCTCACGTTGGTGCGGCCTCCCGGGGCTCAGCCAGGTGTGGGACAGGAAGACATCGAAGCCCTCCACAGGCGCGGCACGGTCGCACAGCCCTCGCCGGGCCTGATCAGTTGCAGATGGCTCAGTTGCAGATGGCTTTGAGGACGCTTCACAGCTCTTCGCCCGTGGATATAAATGATGTGCTGAGCAAAACTTTGCATTTGATCCCGATTTGTTTGAAAGGAACGTGTCCTCCCCGCCTGTTCCGGAAGGTCTACAGGAGAGTGCCGCCAAAGCTCGCCGAGGGCGCGCAGTGATGCCTTCTAAAATGCTGAAGGGAAACTACTTGCAAAGTAATTAGTAGTGGTAGTAGTAGTCGTCGTCGTCTTCTTAGTGGTAGTGGTAGTGGTCGTGGTACGAGTAGTGGTAGTAGTAGTGTAGTGGTGGTGGCAGTGGTCGTGTTCGTGGTGTCAGTGGTAGTGGTAGTGGTGGCGGTGGCTCCGGTAGCAGTTGTAGCGTTGGTAGCGGTGGTAGCTGCGGTAATGGCGGTAGTGGTGGTGGCGGTAGCGGTGGCGGTAGCGGTGGCGGTAGTAGTGGTAGTAGTGGTAGTAGTGGTGGTAGTAGTAGCAGTAGTAGCAGTAGTAGTAGCAGTAGTAGTAGTAGTAGTAGTTAGTAGTAGTAGTAGTAGTAGTAGTAGTAGTAGTGGTAGTGGT